TATCAGCCACTTAGCCAAAGCATTTTAACGGGAGTGACACATGTCTAAAATTGGTCGGAGAGGCACTCTACTTTTATGTATCTTTGGTAAGCCATAAAGTCTCGGGATCGTGGTTCCAGTTGGCCAAACAGTTTGATATAAATTGTGATGTATTAGCCTCTAGAAGAATCACCGCCAACGAGCTTGTTCGCTACTTTGTGTTTTATCACAATGGGTATGGATGGTATATTCGGACAATTGAAACAAGCCAAGACCCAATCGTACTAAAGGATCTCAACAATTATATTGAGTTCCGTACGAAGTTGGCTGCTGCGCAAACATGTGTTCGTTTCATTGATGAGTGTGTGGAGAATTGTTAATTCCCCAAAACCTACATCCAGTTTCTGCGAAGAAGTCGGATTTGTATCACCAACGTTTCCTTGCAACGTCATGCGTTCAGTGAAAGGGACATTATCACAGGTCGTATCCATGAACTGAATCGGAATTTAGTCAAATGTGCTCGTGTTCTTGAAGTGTTTTCACCAGAGGAACCCCAACGCCTAGAGTCTTTTGTGCAGCCAATCGAGGAGAAACGGGTGAAATTTAAACGTCAAACATTACAGAAATTTATTGATCCAACGAAACACGCTATTGAGTTCCCAATCAACCCTGAGAAATACGTTCAGAACTTTTCATCTGTTATATTGGATAAAAAGTTAATTAAAGTGCTTTCACTTGGACCAACATTTTGTTGTCACTCTAAGAAGGATGCAGTAAATCGTATTCTATGCTGAAGCGATTTTTTTTCTCAGAAATCTGAATCGTTTTACCCCATACTTCTAATGAATGCGACTTTAATTGTTATGAGTTTACTTCGCTTCATATTCGAATCAGTCGAAGTAATCTTCAATATATCTTAAATGTGTACCTACGAATGACCAAAACCCGAAATCACTTGCCTATCTTGTGTAGTGAATAGCAGTATTGTGCATAAGTTTGTTTGTTATCTTTTACTCTAATGAGCCATAAGTTTTCTCACGCTGAGTCCGACGATACCTAAAATGAATTTACATCCAGGGCTATGCACCATATCATGTTTTTAGTGGAATACTGATATTTGATGTCCGGTTGGATACTCCTCTGAAGTGCATTAGGTAACTGAATAAAACAAATGATTAACCTTTATAGGTTGACTGCAATTTGCCTTACATGATTAGAATTGGATTACTTTTGATGAGCTTTATTAGCCTCTCGTCCAGATAGTTCTCATAAAACCAATCTACAAAACGATCCGGAGACACGATTGGACTCAACACTGTAGCCATGAACGCCCACTTCACCTCTCTAAATTGTGCAACCTACTAGCAAAGGAAAAGATTTTCGCACAGACCTATAATTTTTGGACATAGTGATGCTCATCCAACAGTGTCATATGCACATAAAAAGTAGAGTGCAATTTGATTGTGACGGTCATTTTCCATTAGGATCAATCGGAATCCAGTGGATGAATTCTGAGACTGAGCAAATTGTTCTCAATTCACTGTTTCACGGGTTCTGAGAAAAGCTCTCCTCCCATTTTTTTTGAGCACCACTTTTCATCAGCTGATTGCTGAGAATCTAAGGGGGATATTCCCTCATTAACTAAACACGACATGTGAATGCTCCAATAGGCAAGCATTTCGTTGACTTTCATTCTCCTGTTTCTTCTTACCCAAGAAAACCATTTCAGTACAGCGTACGAGACAAGTTTATGATCCGGTAAAAAAAAATGTCTACTGTCTCCTTCGTGTTACAAAGATGAGCATAAACACTGCCCATGGTCACTTCCGTATTGCCGACATACACAAAGCGATAAATATGACAGCATATCCTATTTACCTTATAGTTCTTTCGTACGTTAACCGTGTGCTTTGCTGTACTGAATCCGTGCTGATCAATATAATTATTTATTATTTTGTTGAATTTGTTGGTTTTGAACTTTCGTTCTTCAGGAAAAACAACCTAATTCGTTAATTCTAATGGCACCCAGACATCTCATTCGAACGACTCGATTTTGGAATTTAACCCACATTTATTTTCCAGCAGCTGTGAAACAATTGATACTGATTGATTGAAATGTGCGTGTAGGTGAAGTCTGAATGATGGTCGGTTCTGATCAATTTACTTGATTTACATAAAGCATATTCTATTGCACCCAACTGTGTGCACTAGTAACATCGTTTGGTGTAAACTCATTGGCAATATGGTGCATGCTGTCGGTAATTTTCGTCTACTCCATGCACTCTAGAAAATTCACGTTCCCTATCAGCTGGATTATTACTTAGGTGTGTTTACACCATCCCATGCGCATTTCTCTAGCGTCATACCCTCACGATTATGTTGGAACATTCGATTATATCGTCCGTCGTTTCTCATGTATCACAACTGTCCGGGAGGTTTACTCACCCATGCCACGAACCCAGCGCGTGCGTGATGTCTTACTCACTGCCCAAGAATGCTTAACCAACCAATAACATGTACTTTCTTTGCGTCGTACTGTTCGCCCTTAGCTTGAAATTCCGATTCGATCGCGCGGTAACCAGTCCCCCGTTTGATAGTCAGCTTCGTTCGTCATCCCACGTTTGTTCTCTTGCAACCGCAGCAATGATCACTGGTGACCCTGCGCTTTGAGCTATTGTGAATGATGATCTCTGTTCATTGAACACTGCTCTCCTGGTATGTTCATCGTATTCCCATTGGAGACCGCCTAGCGAAACTTTGATTGACGCTATATGCCACGACTGTATGCTTGAAACCGGACTAGCCCAACGTTTCAGCAGGCTGCTTTGCTTGCACACTGTTTTCTCCCTTTGTTCACCTCTATTGGACTTCATGTTTTCCTATATTTGACTTGAGCACTTATATGCGCTTCACTCAACCATTGGGCAACGGTACGAGAAAACACTGGCTTCCCAAAGCCAAGCAACAGGTTTTAGTAGCACTTTTGACTTTGGTTACAATCCTGAAATCAGGACATAACACCGCTTGCAACCATGACGGTTAGATTGTGAGACTCATATTGCTTACTACTTGACCGGGCAACAACACGCAATGATATTATAGTTCTCAATGATTTCACAGTTAGCTTACAGTTACTTGTGAGTAGTAATGTGCGATAATTGTTTTTCATTTGACTGATCATTCTTGCAGCATCAAGCGTAGTTTTGAATTCATCTGGTCAGCAATATCCAACCAATGAGTGATTTCAATGAAGATCTCCGTTTACATGTCACATAAATAACTATTTACATTGCATTTGATGAAGGGATGAAATCTGCAGCGTATCATTAGGAAATAAACAAATAACAGTTATAAAGGTGTATCCTCATGTGCTTCCACACACCAGGTTATGTATGCCAGGACAAGGGCCAAGTGCCATGGTGATAAATCTCTGTGTGAGATTCTATGCAGCCAGGCTATGGTCATTACAACCAGCTATGATTCCCACGGTTATTCCATTTAAAATTTCCAAATTTACAGAGCATGGTATTGTCGAACTCGTGAGGACCATGCTAATATTCTACCGAATAAAATTAACAGATGATTCAGGAGATACCAATATCAGTAATCAGTTCCAGTTGAATTCACACTACGAGATAATTACCTAATGCATGTCACAATGGAACGTTATTATGCTTAGATCAAACAATACTTTAGTCCGCTTTGACCGGTACGAGCATTTTCTAAACAAAAACTCAAGACAGAACAAAATCAAAAGAAGTAGACAAAGAAAACGCATGAGAGAAAATGATTCAAAAGGTACACTATGGTTCAGCTACACAAAGTCCACTATAACCTACGTCGAGTGAAATAGATAAATTCAATTAGCAAATTGACCTAAACTAATTGTAAATATTGATCAACATTGACCGTCGCCCCACCACGTTTTACCTCATCGAACATCAATAATCAAGATTTGTGAGGGAATCATTCACAACACTTACAACTTTTCGTAATCGACGAGGTTCAAGCTAATTACATTAGTATCATCTCCAAGTTCTCAATACGTTTCCTCCAACTTCTGCATTACCGGTTATGTTACATGCATCTGTTTTGACGAAATTCTCTCGACGTTTTCTCGACCTAGTCATTATTAGTTGATCATATCGGTTAGCAAAAGATAGCGCTCCGAGCAGAGCTACGGTAACAATGGGGGCACAGGGTGATTGTGCAAGCTGAACTGAACCCAAACTAATAGCATCAATTCTACAGAGGAAACGAATGCAAATTTTCACTTGATGCGATTACCCACCCCGTGGGGTTTTGAATGCGGTATTTCCTCCATAAGTACAAAGTCGTGTTGATATGAAGTGCGAGTCTAATGGAAACTGTCAACAGCTTGTATGCTTTCCCAGGTTCGAATTCCAGCGAACAAAAGCCTCAGTATTGCATTGTAATGACCTGTGCAACTATGCCTGCAGTTCAGACCAAAAAATGTGTTCATCGTTACAATGGAATGAAATGATTAATTTATGCACAACAACGATAAAACAAAAACAAAAGATGACTTTTTGAGATAAAAAGGTATTAAGTTAGGAACCTCCTTTGAAAATATGAGGAAAAACAAGGTACTCTGGAATTACGATGAATGATCATGCGGGAGGATAAGCAACGATAATTCTATATGACAGTTTGGTAAACAACGATGTTGATTGTTGTTTTTGTAGCTCGGGTGGTATAATATGATGTTCAGTTGTTCGCCGAGCTTGGCAATTGTATTGCAAACGTTTCATCACCAATCGAGGTGACATTCTCAATGCAGTAACTGGGTGAGCGCTTACGAGTGTCCTCTTCCTTATATAGGTCATTGAGTGATGTGGCGTTGCCTGATTGGCCAAGGTTTGTTCGCCTTGTGCCGAAGACGGGTTGGAATACAGAACATAGGAAAGAGGACAGATCTGTTAAAATGGAAATTACAAATAAATAGGATGACAAATTTTTGTATTTCACCGGATGTTTTTGAACTTTTGTGGGCTAGTTTGTCTTTTTTTTGGGGGGGGGGTACGGGATTCCAACAGTCAAATCATACAGTATTCGCGCCACTGACTTCTATTCCGGGCCAAATCTCTCAGCGTCACTAACCAACGACAATCCACATCCCTTGGGTTCCAACCTGGAAGGCGGGCAGCACAAACCGAGCCCAAAGCTGAGGCCAACTTTTTCATGCCTCTAGCCCATGTCATGGTCTGATCGCCGCGCCGCTTCTTCCAGCCTTGCCCGGTAGGTGCAAAGAGAGCACGGGAAGGTAGTCTATGAACAGGCATACGCAACACGCGGCCAAGTCATAGGAGGCAGTGTAGAACGATTACTTCTGTTAGAGAACGACTATCCACACCCAATACACGACGACGGACCTCGTCATTGCTCACCCGATGTTTCCACCACACACAAGCAATGCTTCACAGACATCGGTGGTCGAATACAGAAAGTCAATTAGCATCCTCAACGCGGAGGGGCCAGGTCACGAAACCGTAAAACAAAACGCTACGAACTGCGGCGATGTGCACCCTTCCCTTAAGGGATAGTCAGATGTCATGGCGGTGCCACAGGTGTTGCAGGTTGGCGAAAGCTGCTCTAGTTTTTGCTATTCGTGATGTGATCTCCCCAATGCCAACACCTGCTGCGATCAAGCTCCCGAGGTACTTAAAGCTCTCAACCACTTCCAGCTGATCACCATAGAGGGTGAGTGCAGGCACAGGCTCCTGCCGGTCTCGAACAAGCACTTTGCACTTGAAAGGTGTAAAGCACGTACCATACCTGGATACCTCGATCGCCAAGCGGTTCAAAGCGTTTTGGACTGCCTGTGCGTTGTCACTCAGCAAGGCGAGTTCATCAGCATATTCCAAGTCAAGGACTCTGTTCCGTGGGAGGAGTTCGACTCCACCGTTTGCTAAACCGGACAAAGCATTCCGTAGAACATCGTCTATGACAAAGTTGAAAAGGAATGGGGATATAGGGCAACCTTATCGAACTCCACTCGAGACGGCGAAGGGGGGCGAAAGTTGGCCATAGGCCCTAACCCAACCTGAGGAATGACGATACAACTCTTTGAGGATTGACACACACTTCTCATGTACTCCATTTATCAACAAACAGTTTCATAGTGCAGTCCTATCGACAGAGTCAAAGGCCGCGTGGATGCCTAACAATACAATGATAGTTGGTCTTTGAGAGGCATGACAGTGCTCTAGCAGCTGTCAGAGGGTGAAGATTTGATCGATGCCTTCACGATTGGCGCGAAACCCAGTCTGCTCTTCGCGAGTCTGCTCCTTACGCGTAGTGTACAATCCGCAAAGAATGACGGACGCCAACAATTTTAAGGCTATCGGCATCAGGCTTATACCCCTATGACTGGTGCAGTCATTGCGCGGGCTCTTTCTGAAGTTGGGAACGACAATCGATTCCCCCCACGAGGAGGGTACATGCTCAGTGTTCCACACTTTAGAGAACAGAACTTGTAGTTCTCCAGTAAGCTTTATTCCACCATCTTTAAATAGAGCAGGAGGAAGGCCATCGGAGCCCAGCGCTTTGTGACGTCCCAATGCCTGGCCTCATGGATTTCCGCCTCAGACGGTGGTTCGGTTGATACAGACCATGGGGTGTGTGCCGGAATAGCTGTGTGAGAAGCTGACGCCGGAGGCCATCTAAACTGTGCTTTGAAGTGCTCTGCCCAATGTTCAAGACGTCGCTGNCCTTATGATCGAGGCAATATGAAAATCACACAATTTTGTGAATAGTATGTTTAAGGGAATAAAACAAACACGGCTTATAACCACCAAACTGCGGTGAAGATATTCTTTTTAAGTAGGCCGGGGAAAATAATGAGTAAACAATAAAGGATGACAAGAAAAATGCACCGATTAAAAACAGAAAAGACATTTGAATACTTCAATCTGAACTGTCGTAGCATGAGTACCCGAAAGAACAAACGACGCAGCCCATCAACACAGGTTAATACATCGGAAGACCACGTAGATTGTTCTCTATGTTGGCTACTAGATATTGTATAGCGTGTTCTGGTAATGGGTACGGATTTGAGGACTGAGGAGTTCAAGGGATACCCGCACCAGGAGAGCAAAAACGCATTCAAAACATTTAGAAGCGCTTAAATGGAAGCCGGATTGTTTAGAGAATACTTGCTCTTTTACGGAGCTGTCAGAAAATAATTCCATGTCAGATTATTTTTTGAAATGGCTTGAGATAAGAACAATCATAGCATCTTTAAAGGACATTACTGGCGGAATAGAGGGTAATTCGTGGATGAAGGAGGGAAACTACCATCTTAGTGCAACTGCCCGTCATTTGTTAGATTCTGGTCACCATGCAGACGCAGCGTTTGGAGTCATTGCGAGTCCTCGAAGTTCACTGACTTTGCGATTCTTAGAAGCGATAATTATTCATCATTTGAAACTGCAATTATGTGTTCAACAAAGATTGGTGACGCAGCTGTTGTTGCTGTAGTATTCATGATGTTACACTGGATACCATCCTACCAAAGTGTGACATAACCTTCCCTCCCCCTCTCTCCACCACATTCATCACATCGTTTGGACCAGTTCACCTCCATATCAAATTTTGTCACCTGAGTGGACCTCAATCCTTAACCAAACAAATAACGCAACTACATTGTGCATCACCTTGATCAAATGACTCATTTCAAATCTCGTATTTCTTCGTTTTACGTGACCATATAGTTCAGCGCTTATAGCTGAATGAGAGCACGTGAAATTGATGGCCAATATCAATTCTGCCCACATATGTCTTCTTGAGTTGATTAAATGGATGAGGGGAAAAGACGCTTTACATGTGTATATGTATTTAATCATAAGGGACGCAAAAATCTCTGAATAACCAGCGCCTTGTTTGATCAATGACCAAGACAGACTGTCTGGGACTGCACCACCTGTGATTTTCGTAGTTTTAAGATGATAGGTCGCGTCGTTGGTGACCGAGTGCATGATAATTAGGCAATGTGTGGGGTATGGAGAGAGATCGTTCGAAGAATGAATTGGTGCATCATTAAGGCTGTCCATGTCAATAGTTTTGTTTCCATACCGTTTCTTCTTCCTATTCTATCTTGGAACTGAAACCCACGAGGGTAGAGTCCATATAGCACTGTACAGTGCAGTCTCTAGTAAAGTAACTAAGGTATCTATCCATATTTATTGTTCGCGCGATAAGTCAAATCAAGCTATAAAGATATGCTGTTAGCGAGTCACATTCGCACAAAAGTACAATCAGAATAATGTACCATGAATCTGCAGCTTCAGACTTTCCTTCACATTGGTTTTGGTCTCATTCCCGCTTTCTCAAACTCGCATTCCACACTGTCCAGTTTCCTATCACTCTTTCGAAATCTTGGGTGATCATCAACTTGAAATTATTTCCGTATGAATCGGAGAGTTCACAAAATGTGCACATCGCGCGAATGAAAAAGATTTCCTATATAAGCCCACCTCAAGCAATAAGCTACCACTTAACTGGTCAAAAAACAATGATCCGTAGGTACGCAAAACGATGTATACGATACACAGGTCGCAGAGTAGGGCTCAACGAAAAAGAAACGTCTGGAGCTGTTATTCGCGAACAGTTATCCTTGTTATTTTACTAGCCGATATAATATCCACAGTTCAAATATATCAAAATTTGGTCTGTGACATTGATCTTTTCATTCGTTTTATTCACTAACCGAGTTTCATTAGCGTCGCCAGTGTTTTACGATGATCAATAATTGAATCAAAGTAATTGTTTTATTCTGATCTTTTACACTGTGGTATGTTCATCTATGACCCCTAAATGAATCGATACGCACTGGTTTCTGTATACCATTGTGATTGAAATTGTCGTCCAAACAACGTGGTACGGATGTAAACACCATACACTGTTAGTCGTATTGATCCTGTTTGTAACACATCGTTTCTACTTCCGATTTCAGGTGCATGGAAGTTTAGCGTTCGTGCGAAATAGTATTGGTGAGAATGCTTACGTGAGCGACGAGATCATCACTTCCCGAGCTGGAGTTCGAGTTCGTGTCACAAATACCGATGCAGAGGGTCGAATGGTTATGACGGATCTATTGTGTGAGGCAAAGGAAAAAGTTAGTTTTCTATACATAATCACTAGTAATATTTTCGAATTTTGACCACGTTTTCTAATGTTTCATCCTTTATCTCATAAAGGACCTAACGCCCGTGGTAGTGGTCTTATCTATTTTATTGGTTTAAGATGGACATAATGCGTTAGTTTATTTGGGCTGCGGTATTATTATGCTCACATTCATTAATGTTGAATCGGTTAGTAGTAGCTTCTATGTGTATGCATCGACAGATTGCAGTTCACCAAAAATGAGGGATGAACTCTACAGGGATCTCTCTCAACTGCTCCAAAGTGCTCGGTCAATGGATATTGTGGTAGTCGCTGAAGACTTCGGTGCTCAAGTGGGATCTCTGGACGAATCAGAGAGGCTACTTGGTGGTTCACACACAATCCCATCCAACCGGACTGAAAACGGAGAACGCCTACTCCAACTTTGTGCCGACCGGACTGTTTCTGTCAGGCACTAATTTCTCGCACAAAAAAGCGGCACCACCTTACATAGAGACCGCCGACTTCTTCACAGCGCTGGATTCAAATCGACCACATTGCCGTCAGCTACCGCTGGCGAGGATCCATTGAAGACTGCCACTCCTACTGGTCAACATCCGTGGACACAGACCATGCTCTGCTACGAGTAACATTCTCCCTACGCCTAGTAAAAAAAAACTCAGAAAAGCTACCAAAAATGGATGCGCGCAATGCAGTTTCAGCCTTCCAAGCGTAACCATCAGATCGCCTCTCATCTCAAACATCAGTCGGAGGACTCGGTGAACACTGGACGGCAATCAAGGAGACGATCCAAATTTCAATTAAAACATCTGGCGGATGGTCAAAGAAAAAACGATGAATCTCCTCGACCTGCTGGACGCTCGCAAAGCCATTCCTTCGGATTCAAAATGTGACACCGCGCAAATCCTTAAAACGCCAGCTCATCAAGAGTCTGAGGAATGACCGCGAGAAGTGGTGGGTAGGAAGGTGTAGAGAGATGGAGAAGGCTGCTGCTATCTGTAATAACCGCAATCTTTTCCGATTAATTAGGAGTACAGATCCAAGGAAAGTGGGCGTAGGTGGGATAATTAAGGAGTCCGACGGCATACTGGTTCATATTCAGCAATGCCGTCTAAATCGATGGGCGGAACATTTTAAGGCACAGTTCAACTGGCTCTCGTCAGCACCAGACCTCCCTATACCCGGTTCAACTGTACAAATACTGCCAGTTGATATCAGTTCTCCATCTGAAATGGAGGTTCCCCGTGAAATACGCTATCTCAAAAGGTATAAAGCCTCCGGCCGCGACGGGCTGACCCCACCTGTTTTTAAGGTAAGCGTTTGGAGGTAGTAGTCAGCTTCGATCAACCGCAACCCTAGCAATGACCAACGGCGGCCCTGCGCTTTGAGTTATTGTGGATGATGATCCCTGTCCCTCGAACACGACTCTCCTAGTATATTCATTGCATTCTCATTGGAGACCGCTTTGCGAACTTTGGTCGCCTCACTTGGGTTCGTGGTACAGAATTGCCCACAATTTGAGATACGGTATTCCGCCTGCACATTGTTTTCGTTCTTATCTATTCCGAACCCTTTATTAACTGAGACTTGATTGGAGTTTCGTATCCATGTCTCAAAGTTCCCATATGGCAAATTCGCTTTATTTGTGAAATAAAGCCAAGCAGCTGCTCATGGTTCTTTGTGGACCATTACACAAATTCTGGCACGAACAAAATGCAATACACACGATTCGGGTTGTGAACTACTTCCTTTTTAACTATCATCATTCCCACAATCAGAATCAACGAGCTGCTTTTATAAAGGACTTCGTTCAACTTCGGTTCAACCGTACAAATACTGCCAGTTGATTTCAGTCCTCCATCCGAAATGGAGGTTCCCCGTGAAATACGCTATCTCAGAAGGTATAGGGCCTCCGGCCGCGACGGGCTGACCCCACCTGTTTTTAAGGTAAGCGGTTGGAGGTTTAGCCTTGGTTTTGGAGATAACGAAACTCCTGAGCTCTGTGGGAATGGGAACAAGTTCCAACTGAATGGTGTGAGTCGGTGAACATACCGATTTACAAGAAGGGCGACGGGTTCTCTAGTGAAAACCACAGAGGAATTAGTTTAATCAACATGGCCTCTAAACTTCTCGCCGGGATCATCCTTTGTCGATTGTCTGTCGCTCGTGAAGGGTGCACACGTGAGAATCAGGGTGGTTTTAGACCTGGTCGAGGTTGTATTGACGACATCTTCACTCTTCATCAAATTCTAGAACACATACACTCCTTTCGTAAAAGGATTATTTTCATCTTCCTCGACCCGAAAGCGGCTTTCGACTCGGTCGACCCCTCTAATCTCTGGCCCTGCCTTTCCCTTAAGAGTGTGCCCGGGAAGTCTATTTTAATATTACAACCCCTCTCCAATAATTACCAAAGTCGAGTCCGAGCTCACGGCACTTTTTCACCGGAGTTCACTATGGAAAATGGTGTTCGACAGGGTTGCCCTCTCTCTTTGTTTCTGTTTAACTTTGTTATAGATATAATTCTTGAAACAGCCCGATCCTCGTGCGAGAATAGCGGTATGGAGTTACTTCATGGTGGCCGACTGTCTGATCTAGAGTACGCAGACGACATTGTGCTACGAAGCTTAGATCCAGGTAAGTTGCAAGCTTTTCTGGATAGTTTGAGTGCTAGTGTAGCCATGTTCGGTATGCGTTTTGCACCTTCAGAGTGTAAAATGTTGCCCTCACACTGGGTTGGTCCAGTCCCCAACCTCAAGCTGACCGAGAAAGTAGTAGATGAAGTAGACAAGTTTTGCTATCTGGGCAGCTACCTCTCGCTTGGCGGATTCATCGCAGTTGAAATTTTGATGCACGTACAAAAAGCTCCATTGTCGTTTGCCAACTTGAGACATCTGTGACGCCGTCGCGCCATCCGGCTCTCTGTGAAGGGTCGAGTATATGCTGCAGCAGTTCGGCCAGTGCTGCTTTACGTGCAGACTTAACCATTACAAAAACCGGATAAAAATAAATTGTCAGTGTCCGAACACCACTGTCTACGTAACGTTGCACAAGTCTGGTGGGGAAACCGGAAGAGCAATACCGTGGTTAGGCGTGGAGTTTTTGGTAATCGCGGTCGTCCACTGGAGCACGTGGTCGACCTTCACAGATTACGCTGGTTGGGACATGTACTACGCATGTCACCAAATAGGTTGCCACGGCGAGCGATGTTCGCCGAGGCGTGTACTGGATGGAACAAGGTCAAGCTAAGACCTGGCATGAGGGTATGAAAACCCTAACCAGGGGACTGGATCACATAGGTCCCGTTAGGCTCCCTGGCTGCGGACCCCGAGATCATGGTCACCGATGGTTATAGACACTGGGCGATATGACTGGCTGTCGCAAACAGTGGCGCTCATGCATCTACTCATTTTTCTTGTAACTTCAGTTTATGAAAATGTCTTACCTTCTGCTTGAATCTGCTGTCAACATTCTAGTCATCATCTGCTATTTTATCCGAATGGGTGTCAAAAGACGGCAACCAAAACTGGCGCACGAAAGTGCACGGTTAACGGTTGTAAGAACTGAACTGAACTGAACTCTCACTTATTTACCTTTTTCATATCAGAGATGTAAGCAGGATGTACTGTCAGTTTTGCACCCTAGATCAACCATTCCTGAACTTGCTTATGATTTTTATTTTAACTCTTTTTACTCACCTGTCTCCGGGGCAACTGTGCGTTGGTTATGCACCTGATACAGTTAGTTGATACGTTTGTTTCCTCGATGCTCATAGCACAGGTGTTCGTTCGTTCTACTTATTATTCGGGATTGTTTCTCGTAGTGAATGACTCACCTCCGGTTGGCAGTTGAATAAGTTTATCGCTTCAGCGGATCCGGCGCAAAATTCTTTTATATGATGAGTAAATAAGTCAATTATCGTGATACTGTAGTAGCACAGTGTTCATTATATTTTCAGTTTGGACGTAACCAATGCTAGTTATCTTTTGCCGGGTAACCCTTGCCCCCTTTTGCGATGTTTTTTTTCAGGCGCTGCAAGTTCAAAACCCACATCTGATGACTTTTGCTACACTGACAGGCCATGTTATTCTTTCCTACGGACCAAATTACACGGTGAGCCCTTTCTCCTACAACTTCGATGCGAAGAATTTTGAGGCGTTGTTTTAATAAATGAAGCCGTTAAGTCAGAGTTTTCTCTCATGTTGTACGATAGACGAGGTACTACAAAGTGTGGTTTTCCAAATTTTACACTAGAATCACCTAATACTTCCATTTCAAGATAACCGGTTGTACCACTTGACACTGACTGGTGTCCATTGCTTCCTGATCACATTTCTCAAATCCTCTTACTCCTTTCCAGGGTTTGGTAAGCAATGGACCAGCTCGGCAAATCCACGCAGACGAGGAGTTCCGCAAGGCGGGCTCTCTACTTGGCGAAATGCACGAAGTGAGTTTCGGATTTATTATGCTTTTGGTAATCACGATTGCTTGCTTAAAATAAATGCCCACTGCAAGGTCAAAATGTGATCACACACATTTTGACTGTCATACCACTACTAGTCTCGCGGCGTTCTTGCCCCTCATATATTTCAAGTTGCTAGGCCGTGATTATTCAATCATGCCATTTTTCGAGCCACTGATGAGACTGCCAACATCCTGTTCGGATGCATTGATGTTTGTCATTCCGTTTTTTATAGGTAATTCAAATGCCTGTCCACGTGATTATACATGAAATTGTTTTCTCCTCTATGATCAGATTTCTATGTTGCGCCGTGAGGACTTCGAAGTGCACGCTTCTCAGGACGATTATGCAGATTTGGTTAATTCTGCCCGTCCAGTTGGCGGTAGACGAGCTCGGGGTCACCAGTCACCGGCTGCATTCATGATCGCAGCGTCTGGTTTGGATGCGGTAAGTTGTCAGTTTTGAGTTTTATTCGCTCCTCAGGTTATCGTATCATAAAACGGCGAGAGAAACAGAATTGTGTAAATAAGGGAAATTATAGTCTGTATGTCGATTGTGAAAAGTTCAGTAGCCTCGGTGGGATTCGAACCCACGCATGGACAAACTTCAAAGCTGCCGGACAACTATTTGAACAATTAACCTTGTCTTAGAAGCTCATTCGGTGGAGACGGTGAATTCTAAGGAAAACCTGTCGAGGCAGTCAGCTTACATGCTAACTGGTGGATGCCACATGCCTCTGTAAGTTGGATGGGTAAATTCGAATGTGAAAAAGATCAGTGCTATCGGTGTGGCCTCGTAGCTCAGCTGGTAGAGCATGTGCATACAAAGCGCAGGCGGTGTCCATGCGTGGGTTCGAATCCCACCGAGGCTACTGAACTTTTCACAATCGAAGCTACAGCGGTGTCCATGCGTGGGTTCCAATCCGACCGAGGCTACTGAACTTTTCACAATCCACATAAACTTCAAATCTACCGAACAACTTTGAAAAATTATAGTCTATCATCTACCGAGTGTTCACCTCGTCACTTTGATTTTTTAAAATAAAAATACGACTGACTACTCTTGAGTAGTGCATTAATAAATCTAGTTTTCTGTTTATAATTTCTGTCCTGTTCTTATTCCCTCATTTTTTCCTTTAGCACATGTGCAATAGAAAGCAACCACTGCCCTATACACATTTTGACATAGCAGGGAGCCAAGGTCCGTCTCCTGGGATCCCAACGGGTGTGCCGATTCTAACTTTGTGCTCTCGTTATTTGTTGGATCAATTTTTAAAATGAAGCAACGGTGCTATTCCGGCGCGGATTGGCACCTATCTATCGAGGATACTTTTGAATCGATTTCTCTTTGTAATTTATTTGTCAACCGAACAGTCACCGCGGTGCTTTATTTGGTGTAATCCAAACGAAATCTACTCACGAAATTCCATCAATTTTTATTATACTTAGTGCATTTGAATAAAATTTGGCTGTTTTAAATATAAGTAAAATTGTTTCGTTGCTATGTGCTTTTTATTGTATGAGAAAAGTATTTTACGGAGTTCATTTTCAATGATGCTCACCTCGATTGCTCATCGATTAGAGCATTTACAGTAGTTTTCCAGTCTAGCAACTTTTTCCCCGTGGACATTGGTTGTGAAAAATGGCTGTGTTATGATACTGGCCGTTTTAAGGTATCGCCCCTCAATTCATGTTTTTTTATGCAATGATTTGAATCGAGGCAGAAAACAGCCGCTTTGCAGACAAGATTTTCTGGAATCAGTTTGGGGTTTCATCTAGTGAGTTGCAACAAGTTCGATTGGCGGGTCGCGGTAACAGTTTTACGTACCGAAGGGCATTATTCGGAGTGTGAATTTAAGCAGACGGGATGAAATGACCCCTTACAGGCCAGGAAACGCACATATTTCTTGAGTGATCTTCTAGCAGTACATAAACGAAGTCCTTTATAAAAGCAGCTCGTTGATTCTGATTGTGGGAATGATGATAGTTAAA